GGGGGTTCTGAGTTGAGATTTCTTACTTTGTGCTGTGGAAAAATATCCCAAAGATATTTCGAAACGAAACGTGGTTAAAGTTACATGAGGTCAAAATCAAACCCGAGTAACCCTCCTAGCTCTTACTTTAGTGAGCAAGCTTTGAGTAAAAACAACTAGGCTCTTCTGTCTGTTTAAACAGAAAAAGACGTCTTCGCACAACTCGGATCAAGAGTTGAGTGAGGAGGAGGTTTCCCAGTTTGCAGGAACAGGAGAACTCGGTGGATACTGGGCCAGACCTAGCTCACGTACCACACAACGCTCGGTAGCTGCCAACTTAGTACCCCCGTTGGAGCACCACACAATTAGTTGACCCAAATCGCGTGTAGTTTCCGCAGCAAGTTCGGCCAGGGAGAAAGCTTCTGCTCAAACCCAAAACCGAATTTCTGCACGTAGAGAACTACAAACCCAGGCAACAACTTCTGCTAGCCCCAAACCTAGCACTAGTACAACCATGGAATCCTTACTTCCACAAAATACCTCGTTGCCCCCATCGAGAGTTGGTTCACCGACCTCGCCAAATTTGAACTCAGTTCAAGTTATCCCCCAAGGACTACCTACAGTCCAAACCCAACCAGCCACAAATAAAGTTTCTATCGTTATTTCTTCAAAGAAAATGTCGAACGTAGCATCATTTAAGAAGCCGGTCCCTTGGGACAGAGAAATTTGGTTTGGCAGGGGCATTGCTTGATGCCCCAGTTCGCGTATGTACGAACTGTTCCTGCGTATTCCTGTTATTCTGACCAGCACTCTTGACTAAGTCAAACAACTGAACTAACTGTGCCATATCTACTCCTTGCGGAAGAATAGATGGTGCCGGGGGAATTGGTACGAAGTTCTGATTACTCAGTTGAGTAATGGTCTGCTGGGTCGGTACAGCAAGCTGGGCCTGTTGTAGATTTCTCTGTACTCTTAAGGACCGGAGCTCGTCATCCCGACTGTCATATACATCTCCTACGTTGTCACTAGTTCCATTGCCTTGGGTATATTGCGGATAGGGGAGCTGGGAGTAAGACTGAACCATTGCTTGATACAGCTGCTGGGTATAAGATGGAACCAGCGCCTGCATTGGTGGCCTGGGTATCCCTTGGCTGACATAGTAGTTGTCCACTCTCTCCTTCCTGCTCTTATAGGCTGGATAACCAGGAATAGGTTGCCCATTCCCCAGTTTTATGACACCGTTCTCAATTACAATCCTCCCCGTGTCAATGTGTCTTGTTTATAAGGACAATCTCTAATGAGATGCTCCAGGAAACAGTAGAAGCACTTCCTGTCATCGGGGCAATCATTATTCCGACTAGAGTTATTCCAGTTCCCAGAGGAATTGTTATTATTATACCCTTGTCATTACTTCCCCCTTCGTTACTCCCACAGTTTGAATTATCGTTATTGACATTCATGTCCAGGTGAGGAGGCTGCAGTCGGGTCATCTGGGCTAGAGTCATTTTTAAGGACTGCGATAGGCCGTTGATAGACTCCTGGAGGTGTTTCTCCTGCAAGATTGAGGAGTCTTTGAACAAAGCCATCTCGTTTGCAAAGTTTTCCAACCTCTCACTTACTTCCTGCTTGAATTTTAGAATAAAGGATTCTTCCAAAGTTACAGCTTCGGCCACAAAGGCTTTCTTGGTCGGCAAGTTCTTGGTATTTGAACTTGCACTGATCCACCTCTTGGAGATGGCTTCAGCAATGGTCATCACTGTAGAGAGAGGTACTGAGTCCTCTCGCCTTACTACCCAGTAGTGCCAGTGGTAGTAGCCCCAGCGCTTGCGCCAGAACCACTTCCTGCATTACTGACGGCAGGAGGAGTTACCCCTACTATAGTATCCTTCATGAGAATGGAATAATTCATCATGTTGCGAATATCGCCCTCGTAATGAGGCTCAAATGCTCCAAGATAGTACTCCACTAATTCTCGATTTGCGACTAAGGCAGGTGCCTTCAAGAGTTTATTCGATTCATTTGAGAAGGCTACTCCGTATCTTTTCACTAAGCCCTGTTGGGACTGTTCAAGACCTTTGTACTCTTCACAAATCTTTAACCTCTCTAGCGATCCTACTCCAAAGTCTTGGATCTCTGGATACAACTCCTCCATCTCAGCGATCCATTCGTCCAAGGTCCCTGACTGGAACGCAGGGAGATTCTCCATTTGGTCGCGGATATCATTGTTGGCAAGGTAGTCGGTCATAGTGTCCTTCTTTCCCTTTCCCGTCGTGATTCCTGCTCCCTCTATCACCATTTTACAGTGGCGAATGAACCGCTTCAAGCTCGAGGCCGTTTTGCCATTGAACTGAGGGCTACTCTCCGGAGAACCGTCAACAGGCCAAACCAGCAGACAAAAGTAACAACTGGAGAACTAAGGCAACTGTAGGAAGTGACCGTCAAGACTCGAGTGATGAAGAGGTGGATCCTACGCCGGTGAAGAAGTCGGCCAGGAAACATATAATCCTGGACGATGATTTCTCGGATGAAGAACCACCGTTGGTACCATATCGACGGTTGAATAAGCGGAGTACTGTACGGGCTACGGACCCATTACTGGTGTCAACAGAAAAAGCTTACAGGCTTATTGCACCAGTAGAGCGGGAAGGAGCAGTAGAAGAGTTGAACCAGAGAATCACAGACACCAGGATAGATGTCAGACTGGGAGATCTCTGGGGAATGGCACCTGAGTTGGCTAAAAAGCTCAGGAAGTCAACTACCAAGACCAGACAGCCTTATGCTAAGCCAAAATTAGTAGGAGATGTACTGGCACAAGGGGCCTTACTTCCATTCCAGGACGAAGTAACGTCGGAACTCGAATATGATGCAATAGACATGGATGAACTGCCCCGAGTAGACTCCCTATATGTTGCAACCGAGGAGGATATTGGAGTCCCTCCCGGGTCATTAGTAGTGCCTGATCCTTATATGCAGTATCTGGCCAGTCTTGGAGAGAACAAACAACCTAAACAAGTGTTTGTTGCTCGAGACTCGGCTTCTCTAAGAGTAATCTTTCTGACTGTTGCTGGAAAAGATCGGGTAGAAGCAGTCACGGACAGCGGGTCTCAAATAGTATCCATGGCTCTCACAATTGCAGAGAAGCTAGCTATTCCTTGGGATCCTGATGTCCAGATTTACATGCAGAGTGCGAATGGTCAGTTGAAAAAGTCAGCTGGTCTCGCACGTAACGTGGCTTTCTTGTTTGGTGACATAACCGTCTACCTTCAGGTACATATAATAGATCAGCCAGCCTACAAAGTATTGTTGGGCAGGCCTTTTGAAATCCTGACGGTGTGATGAGGACTGCTGCGCTACCGTGTGAAGGAATGGGCTCCACGGGGGCAGCTGCGTTTGGCCTCTAGGGGGGAATATGAGGTGGGCACCGATTAGAGCGGAAGCTCGGCCTGCACGTTGAAACGGTGCAGCAACGTATAGGCTGCAAAATGTAGCTAGATATAGATAGAAAACTCCGAGGAGAAATCACACTAAACCAACCAACACACACAACCAATACGATGTGCTAATAATTGAGTTCGGGTCACCCTGAAGTATACAGGTAAGATTGATCCTTCTCTCGTGTAGTTTGAGCAATATCAACTCTAAGAAAGCCTTGTTAGGACTTCCGCGGAGCGCAGTAGTTATAAATAACCACTAATAGTCAACCACTCTGATACCGCGGAGGGTATTTCGGGGTGTATGGAAATATGAAAGTGTCCTCGGACTACCAACTTATGGGTCCTCGGGATCTCTGCACAATTGTACGACCGTCCTACGAAGGCAGGGAGCGATTCCAATACAAAGGCAAACTGCGACCGTCCTGCTCAACAGGGGCGATTCCAACAGTCACTCGGATACGACTGCCCTGCTATACGGGAGCGATTCCAATACCCTGGCTACGACCGTCCTACTAAAGCGGGGAGCGATTCCAATAGCCGACCTTGCCACTTAACAAGGTTCCTTTAACGGTTTCTCGACTCCGCGGAGTGAAGCGAGGTGTAGAAGGCTTAAGATGAACTTAAAGCTTTTTAGAGCCAACAAATATCAAAGCTTCAATTTAATGAATCTACACAAAGAGATGTTTTATATCACAAATCTCCGCGTGGATACAGAGGACACCAACACTGGTTAATGGCAGGTGTCGTTCAACTACTGTCTGGGCACCTCTGCGGGCAAGGATGAACTGCTGTACTGCGGGTTTTCCATGGGCTTTTATACTACTTTCTAAATAAATTACAAACGGCAGATGTGTAACAGGAAATAAGAGAGACTGAGTAATACGGAGCGGAATAGGAAGAAACGCGTGGCCAAGGCCTCTCTAGTTTGGTGGGTCGGCAGTCGAGAGTCATGTTGAATGACTCCGCAGACCCGTTTTGGGTATATTTGAAATTCCTGCAGAGGAGCCGAACACATTCGTGTCCATGGCCGCCCCGCGGTGTGAGCCATCACATTGTGATAGCTCCCGACGTAACCTCAAAACACCGAACTCCGAGAACAACACCTTAAGCCATCAACATAAAAATGATATCCGGACCCAACTAGTGGCTTGACGGAGAACCGAACCTTCCATCGACCGATATATGAATGCTATAGGTACACAGAATGCGTTACCATTACGCCAACAAGCCATTCGAGAATCAAACTCAAGACCACCAAGGACTGACTCCGAGTTAAAAATGTTATCCGGACCCAATCCATGGCTTCCCGGACTTTCTGTCAACTGATATATAAAATCAGTAACACGGAGCGCGTTAGCCACTACGCTACCAAGCCACTCAAGAAGTCAAACTCAAGACCACCATGGACCACGAGTTAAAAATCATATCCTGACCCAACATGGCTTGACGGAGAATCAAACTCCGAACCTTCCATCAACCGATATGAGAATGTTAGGTACACGGAGCGCGTTACCATTACGCCACCAAGCCATGACCGGACTACCAAAAATGCCAATAAGACTGGGAAAAGGAATGGTTATTGTCAAAAGGCTTGATGAAGAATTGAACTTCGGACCTTCCGTGAACGTTACATATCGCTACGGAGCGCATTACCACAACGCCAACAAGCCATACGAATGGCCGAGACGATCGCTGCAAAAAGAACGGTTTCCATCAAACGGCTTGACGGAGAATTGAACTCCGGACTTTCCGTCAATCGATATAAAAATGTGCATATTTACGGAGTGCGTTACCATTACGCCATCAAGCCGTAGGAGTTGAACGACCAGCCAAGACGATCACCGTAAAAAGAAGGGTTTCCGTCGGAATGGCTCGACGGAGAATCAAACTCCGGACTTTCCGTCAATCAATATAAAAATGCATTAGATCATCACGGAGTGCGTTACCATTACGCCACCGAGCCGTAGGAATCGAAAGACCAGCCAAAACTATCGCCATGAAAAAGAAGGGTTTTCTTCATAATGGCTCAGCGGAGAATTGAACTCCGAACTTTCCGTGAAGCATACCGTGAACTACATAGGAATGCGAAGTGCGTTACCATTACGCCACTGAACCGTTCAAAAATGCGCCCTATCTTCTTACTCAACGGACAAAAAGAACATAAAGGCCTGTCGGAGATTCGAACTCCGGTCCCTCCATGATTTCAGTTTCCCGCCAGCTACGCGAACAGAGTGCGTTACCACTATGCCACCGGACCATGTGTGCGAGCGATGCGAAGATCCGGTAAGAGGTGCACAAAAAAGGAATGGAAAGAGGGATGGCTCGACGGAGGATTGAACTCCGGACTTCCTGCAAAAGACGCGTTTGTGCAAGAACCATGGCAGGATGCGTTACAGTTACGCCATCGAGTCGTGAATACCAAACGGCCCGAAAGGATGGAATGAGGACTCCGGGTAATCAAAAAAGGTGGGTAGCACGGGAAAAGGGCTCGACGGAGGATTGAACTCCGGACTTTCCGTAAGTCAAACACTGGGGTGAAAGGATACGGAGTGTGTTTCCACTACACTATCGAGCCGTCCCAGGCGGAAGCCGGATAGGAGGAGAGCTAGGACCGGACATGGAGTGTCCGAGACTAGGGCCAACAAGTCCGGGTTGCGGAATCGGTGCCGGACTGAAGATGGTGCGGGTAAGGGTTCACGGAGTTCTAGAATGAGTCATAAGTGAACTCCGGGGTGGACCAGCGTGCGAGCGAGCAGGTATGGGACACAAAGGAACAACTCCGGCACAGCCTTGGGCTGGGGTATAAATACTACAGCTAGTCTACCAAAATATCATCTCAGTTTCGGCCCACATCCTCACCTTCTAAGCCTTAACCAGCTTAGGAGTAGCTAAATATCCGCCCCGAACATCACCTAGAGGTCACCCGGAGTTGAATTACACAGTAAAGCGACCCTGGTACTCCCCCGCCGCCGTCAGACAGCAAACGGAGTTTATATTTCGGCATAAAAAGTTCAGCGCCGGAGAAATCGAACCATTTATTCCTCCCCTACGCAAGTAGGGCAGTGAGATCTCTCAAACAGCACAATGAGGTCCTCAGAGTTCGTGTGTAGCTGCTAGCTAAGGAAGTTGGCGGTGCAGAGCCCGCAGGAAGTCGCCTTCAGCAAGCGAACGGGTGAGAAGTAGAGAGAGGGAACTCCGTAGAGGCACAAAGAGGGGTAAAAGGAGGAGAAATTGCAGGAACATTACCGCGAACACATAAAACCCCCGGTCTTACGATCTACAACTCAAAGATACTTCGGATGACTGTGGTTCATGGTCCAGGAAGCCCCTAAATCCATATTTCACCTCGGACTTGACGAATCGAACCCCACATCGCCTTCCGAAGCTCCTCCTCCGAGGAAGTGTAGAACAGATTCAATCTCCGTTAACCCGAGAAGGCTAACTAGGCGTCGGAGTTCGCTCGGACCACCCTAGCTAGTAGGATTTTGAACCAACTGTTCGAATCCTTGTACGGATATCCCCACCAATATTATTAAAACCTCCCTACGTACTTGTCTACCGCGACAGAACAAATTCCCCCTAGAGGACGAGCATTAAACATAGCCCGGATCTCCCCACCATCTGGCAGTTTAAAGCACCGCAGTCCGCATCACAGCGGAAGGGTACGTCCTGCGCCGGCATGGTTGATAATCCCAGCCATTGTGTCATCTCCCAGCGGGTAAGCTGGTACGGTATTTGTCCTACTGTGCCATGTGTACAGCTCAGCTTCGGCCAATGGTGCCTGTCCGATCCCTCAGATCAGCGATCACTGCGATGCTCTTGTTTGGTCTCCCTCGGGCGCGTCACGTCCGTCACATGTGTCTATTTCCAGAGTACTGAGTCCGCGGAAACTCTCCGCGGGCTCTCGCTCGTTGATAAGGCGTGCATCTTTGCGCGCCTGAAATCTTTGTTTTCGTACAAATGCAAGCGGATGGCTTGTATTTGTGACTCCAGTAAGACTAGAGGGCACTGGTTCAATCCCGGAACAGAGTGTTAAGCCGTTTGAAGCATTGCAAACTAGCATAACCAACAAAGGAAGACTGGGTTGCCGTCTGAGGTACTCTTCACGGGGGCTTAGGATACTGGCCTGGCTTCAAAACACACTAGCTAGCCATAGGACTCACCCGGCGCGGAGTATTAAACCAATGCTACAAGTTCGGTGTCAATATGGATGTTAGGCAATCAAGGGACTTTGGAAGGAAACAGGAGAGACCAGCTATTGGCGCGGGGCTTTGAACTGAGGCCAAGGAGATTATGAAGGGTTTCCCAAAATAGAAGCCAGTCGGCGCCAGGAAATCGACAATGAAGCGAGCGCGCGCCAGTATAAATTGGAGCATACTCAAACGGGTCAGCACCAGGCTACATGCTGAGAGCTGGCGCCAACCCTTGAAGTGAACTAAGGAGCGAGGATAATGCATACCTTGGCGCGAGGATCTCATAAGGAAGAAAGAATCCGAAAGAGGAAATTTGCACAAGTCGGCGCCAGGAAGTCTATAAATAGTTGGCGCCGACTTCCCTCAAATTCCCTCGACGGACTCAAGGATGTCCTGAGTAATGAAGGCTTACCAGGAGGCTTGGCACTCGCTTAGAGAGGCTATTAGCCGATGGTATTAGTAGGAGACAATTATGAAGTAGAGGACTTTAGCGAAGCTAGCCGATGAAGGGCAGCCCTTTTTGGGTTGAATTCGCTAAGAGCTGGCCTCTCATTGGTCCAAGGAAGTGCTGCGGCTTTCTAAGGCTCGCTAAGGAGAAAGGTGCACCACGGATGGAGCCAAAGAGCTCGCTTATACCTTATTATTACTCATTCAACGTTTGTATATCTCGCTTAGTTCAGTAGTATAAAAGCCGCATGTAAATCAGTAGATAGACAGTGAAAACTCCCCCGTTATTGGCACATAGCTCTTTTGAGCTCAGAGCTCAGCTCAGTCACTGGACAACTCGCCTAAGAGCCTGCACTATACTCATCTGCCGTCCCAGTCACTGAACCTTGCAAGTTCAAACTCGGCGCCAGCCCAGTCACTAGTCGGCGCCAGCTTCCTAACACAAACTCATCCGCGCGCCAGTCACTGAACCCTGCTAAAGTTCACACTCACGCCGGCCCAGTCACTGTGCTAGAGCCTTAGAGCCAACCTTCCACACTCAGCCCTCTACCTTTCGGTGTCCGCCCAGTCACTGGCTTAGGTGCCTAGTCGACTTTGTTCATCACACTCGGTTCGCGCCAGTCACTGAACATACGTTTCACACTCGCGCCAGCTCAGTCACTGTTAACATCGTTCAGCCGCTCTCTACACACTCGGTTCGCGCCAGTCACTGAACATACGTTTTCACACTCGCGCCAGCTCAGTCACTGTGCTAGCTTCTACGCCCCCTTCCCCACACTCATCGGCCCGAGTCCTATTTTAAAGTCCAATCTCTGGCGCGAGCCACTTCACTCGTAGACTTAAAACATCTACACCCCCGTCGATAAGACATCTGGAGACACTGGTTATACAAAGGAGGATCTTCCACCCACTAAAGTACCTGTGGTCTTTCTATTGAAATTGAAGGGTCGATACGAGTACCCGTCGCCCCGAACTAAATAACGATAAGGCTGTTGGAGTGATTGGTTGTTGGAGTTTAGTGTGATTAGAGTTAAGACTTATTGTCTTACTCTTTTTATATTAGATTTCACGGCTGCACGCCACTGCACCGTTTCATCGTCAACTTTGGCAGTCCCGCAGGGCTTTCGCCCCTCGGTTTGTCAGGTATCTAGTCAGAGTCCGCTTCCGCGGACTCGACAATATCATTCCGCGGACTGGTCAGTCCAGTGCTTTCGGACACTACTAGTCCACAACTGTTCGTCTAGGCTTTTTAATGTTTAATCTCCTTGGTATGGTATCTAGCCAACAGGGCAAGCCATATCCCGGAAATACAGGAATAACTCTGTCTGTGCACGTATACGCCCCGCGGAGCGCTATGCTGACCCTCAATGGTAAAAGGACCGAGCCTTAGCGTGCCCACGACTGGATACATGCTCTGGCATCATCAATACATAGCTAGCAGCTCGGAGCTCACTCTAACTCTAATTGTATATCACCGGGCAGGGGCCCCGTGGAGTCGTAATACACCGCTAAAAGAACAAATTTACGGCTGGTTGTATCCAGGCCGTATCAGCGTGTGTGACGAAATCAAATGGGTGTGGACTCCTCGTGGAGCGCACGGTAACAAGTGTGTGTGTGTGTGTGTGTGTGTGTCTCGGTGGTATATGCCCCAACTGCAGACGATGCCTTTCCCCAATGAATGAGGCAAGCGACCGAGTTTCCGATGCTGAGGCCGCAAGGCCTATGCTGGAGGTGTACTGCAGTGAAAGGTACGAGGGTGAGTGTGATGCGAGACTTCGAAGAGAAGCTGCAAGGAAAGTGGACAGTCAAATCTGGTGTATTGGTTGGCACAAGTACACTCTAGAGCGGGGGAAAACTTGTACCAAAATCTGACTATCCTACAGTGCTAAGACTACGTCCCTTTTATACCTCTTGGCTGCACAGCCCCAGTTCTGTAGGAATCGGGTCAAGTGCGGTCCCCCGGAGGAGCTGGACACTCGAAATAGGTGTAGGATGAAGGGTAAGACCAAATTTAGGTCAAAAGAGTGGTT